TCTCATGAGAAGTTAAGTACCTTCATAGGGGATAGTTTTCCCAAAATGTGGAGTTATAATCTCATGTTTTCAAGTGTACTTCAAACAACCGGAAATAGAGCATTTAAGGCAGTTGGTAATTGTAACACTTGTGAAATAGTGAGCACGTCAAAGGACAAATGTTCCGCCTTCTTTTCTGTGAACATCCAAGCCTCACTTGCCACCTTGCCAATTACTTACTCTTGACTGGCCCAACTTGAAATCTTTCTTTTCACCACAGCCTTTCCACGTTTTCAAAAGGGCTTTAAGGGAAAATAAATAAGTGAATTTTATTAACATCACAAGAGGCTGGTGGTGAAATTTTCCACATGAGTTCACAAAGCTAGCTCTCCACATGTCATTGACCTGCTAGAAAAATAATCTTAGGACTGTAATTTCATGCACTTAGTATCTTTGTACTATTGCGGAATTTCAATTAGGAGTACCTCTACGAAAATATCGGTAAGTCTTGCTTTCATGTTGACTGATATTTGTGGTAATATTTTAAAATTGGTACGAGGCTTAGGAATTGTTTACTTCAGAGATTTTACTGGTGACAGTGCCATTTGATTTCTAAGTTAGACGTTTGAAATAGTTCCATTCTTTAATTACTGTATTTACCTTCTATCTACCTCCAACGTGTCCAATGTTGGTGGAAGTCAACATATGAATAATATAGCGCCTGTGACTCTATGGCTTCAAGTTCTTTGTGGTGGTTTTGAATATTTTTTGCGTCAAGGGTGTTTCCATGAGAGAACAAAAATAGGAAGGGTACCTGTAATTCTTCTTTTACAATAATATTTGCACCTTATAAGTGAGATACCATTGTGTGTTAGCCAGCCAAATTGACACCCAAATCCCTATTCTAGGGCGTTATAATGAAGTCTCATCAATGCTGCGATAATGAAATTTTCATTCATCTGGGTGCATACTGTATTAATTTCCATATAATAGAAAGAAAACCGCCCTTGACTCACGGGGGATCTATGTCCTTCCTCCAAATCAGGTATGAAGTATTAACCTAGTCATATCTTATTAATTTCCGCAATCAAACGCTATGACTTGATTAGCTTCTTATTAAAAAAATAGAAATTTCGGCAGTTAAAATTAGTAAAATTTTCTTACATACCCTCTTCTACTTAGTCAAATTCAGTAGACAACATGTGACCAATTCGGTAAACTATTAACAAAGTGGGAAATTGGCAAATTTGCCTAACAGATTCTATTATTATTCCTTTCCTAACTAATTAGGCGATTACAAAAATCAAGCTGATAAGAAGTGCAGGTGAAGTCCCCATTGCGTCCTGGCCAATATACAGCAATGGTCATCTATCCGGAAATAATGTTTGCATTAATAGCATTCATGTAAATATTCAAAATGGAAGGCTAGAAAGAAGCCTTCAACTGTCTAATGTTTAATGATTGCAAAACTGCCAGTACTTACAAATTAACAGAGTAAAACTTCTCCAACTGAATTCACGTTATCACAGCTTCGCCTCATTACACCGATTTGACGGTGTTAATTAGGGGGGGGGGAGGCTTTGCATCCGCTCTTAGTTTTTTTTCCCACCCAGGGGAAGCAGAAAGCAGTGGATACTGCCACAGCCTACAGGAGAGAAGAGGAATTGGTTAGTGGCTCGCATCTTATCCGGTCTGGTGTTGAGCACTTTTTTGCCAATATTAGAGCCCATTCGAGTGGAAAGTGGCTTTCAGGAAGTCTGTTTTTTCAATCATAGATTCTCCAGTTGAATAAGGTGATGCTTTCTTCGCATATCTAATCCACTTGATTGTCACTAATCAAACATATGGAATCAGAAGAAAGTAAAGTCATATCTATTTAGGCTCTTAGAAGAATAAGAGAGGAAATATGACCAAATGGGTGGTTGGTCTTTATAGAGGTCAAGAATTTTTAAACATCGAAATATAGAAAAGTGTCCCTTGAGCTTACGGGTGAATTCATGTTCACGACATTCAAAGCTAATTAAACAGCTCGTAAAATTTAAATGAATAGTTGGCCATACTTTCCAGAAATAGTTAAATAATTCAAATAACAAATATGCCTACCAAATGATGTACATTAACATTGTTTTAGCGTAACAGAGCTCACTAGAGTTCACCTAGGTTCAAATCCCCCAAAAATTTATTGTGTTCGTTAATTTAAAACTCCCAAAAGTTGCACTTCCTGAACATATCCGAAATATTTCCGAGGTTTGAATCAAAACTACAAAGGGGTAACCTTGAAAATCATAGGGAGAAAGTTATAGTTAGAGTCAATTAACTTCTAAAAAATAGACATTGTTCATATATAGATCACATGTTCTCCCTTTAGGTCACACTTGTCATACGAATCTAACATTTTACTATTTTTGGAACTGAATACTGTATACTATCTGCAGTAAACTGAAATAAAACTGCGTAAAAATATTTTCCTTAGATATTTCCACGTTTATATTAATATTCTTAATTCTTAATTAAAAGGTACTTATAATTATTCCATATGTCTATTTGATTTACTTCTTCCTCCGCAAAATCGGAAACAGCATAATTTCAAATTAATTTTCACTGATGACAAATAGTACTTGACTTAGGGTCGTAGAGATTAAAGCCATTTCATTTAAATATTAAACATAAATATCATATAGAGTAGGTATATATCTGAGTTAACGCATTCAAAGCACTTGTCTACCTTATACCACCATATGTTCCGTAATTAAGACTTAAAGCAATGTTGTGACTTGCCAAATAGACTAGAATGAGACTGACAATCGATAAAAGACCATGTCAAAATTCAGAGCCGGTAGCTAATTAAACGGCAACAACTTGTTCCCCCAACAGACACAAAATTATAATCCCCCTTAAGCCATGGTCGTCTCAGATAATAATAACAGCCTGATATTTTCCCTCGCAGCTTAATCATTGTCCATTCGTATTGTAGCCAAAACTGCAACTTTAATTTCATTCAAAAGTATTATCGATTCTTCCACAATGAACGCGTGATGAATATGTAGATTTACGAAAGACAAACATTTTGCTTGATGTGCGCCTGAATGATTAATTGCGTGATAATGTGAACCAAGTGTGCGCAGTTCATCATGGTATTTCATTCTCGGGAATAAAAGATAATTAAATTATTGCCACTTTGCGGAAAGGAGATGGCACTAGGTTATGCGCGTGTTTTCAGGGTTTGTAGACCCACCGAATTCATCAGAGTTAATAAAATCAGACATAAACTCATTTGTATTCCTAACCCGCATGAATTAATTATTCAAAGTATAATGTGTGCATGCAGTAGTAACAGAAGTACAGCGTTTTCCAGTTCTCTGGACATGGGGTACCATCGAGATTCTTCCTCCCCCCCCCCTCTCTCTCTCTCTTTCCCCAATCGACATTCGGTCGCTATGCAGACAGGTTTGCGGCAAATCAACGACAAAAGGGGTCCGGGTATTGCGTCGCCATGGTTCTTTGCATATGAATTAAAATTAAAAGGTGAAAAGTGGAAAAAAGTACCAATTCGACTACTACAGATGCTATCGTGGTGGGGAAAATTTTATCGAGAAAGGTAGGCAAAATCTGATGGAAAATCTCCATTCCTTCAAACACCATTGACTGCTATTCGAAATCGTTTTTAATTTGCAACAATGATTACTAGATAGATCTGGAAAATAATGCACTTGAAGACCTCCGTGAATTGAATGAAACCACTGTTTTTCGACATGAACCTCAATTAATTGGGCTTTCTATGCAGATTATATTTTTATTACGTCCACAGCCATGGATTATTATTCCAATTGATAAAGTTGGCTGAATTTCTTCAAATTAAGAATTATTATTTCACCGGAAGACTCAGAAGTCGTTTTTGACTTCTTTTTCACAGCGCATATTTTAAACATGCTTGACAGAGGTTAAACAATGTTCTTTGGAGGGACTTTTTAAATCAGTAAATGTCCATTTAGTCATTACTAACCATTAATATAAGATGACAACTCGAATGAACCCTCTTGACCACGGCTGTGTTGTTGTTTGTCCCTTGTTGACAACGCTTGACTTCATCAGGACACAAATAAATTGAGGTGACAGTCAACAAGTTCCAAATATTGTCAACATAATCTTATCCTCGTGTCTGGGAGTCAATTCACGAAATACTAATATATGAAAAATTTCCATACACCTTGGATTCAAAGAGACCACTTATTACATGCACATTTCTTACCTTATTAGGCCTATTTAATTTTCCCCAAGTTATATGGATTTCATTGTTTGTGGACGACTTTCCTGCCACGAGATGACCTCCACTGTTTGGGATGGTGAAATTGACTTTGTCGGCACGAAAATTTCCAAAGAAGATCACATGAAATCCTATTGCTTAGTTGGATTTTTTTGAATAGACATCTTTCAAACTTTATTGTTTCATAGAGATGGGCATACAGGCATGCTCGTCGACAAATTGGTCAATTTATAAACTTATAACTTCTATAACTTCCATGAATATATATAGTGAATACTTGTAATTAATTGACGTGATATAAATTATTTCGCGCCTAAAGTGAGGGTGATCTTTCTCTGTGTATGTGTCCAACTGCTCCTCCTTCCACTGTGCTTCCGATGGCGATGACACCTGAATGAAATTTGATCCTAATTAATCACTTTCGCTATTAATCGCACTGGCAATGCTAGTTAAGCAATTAATTAAAATCTGGGTGTTCTTTTCAACCTATAACCAAAAAAATGACTGACGTTCAATGAGCCCTCTGAATTTCGTTTGTGTAAGCTGTGAGTAATTTGACCTTTGCCTAAGATATAATCTTTAAGATGTTAAAAATTTCCAATCTACCAGGTTAAAATTTTCCCATTCTCACTAAACTGGTACTTCTAGGTATTGTTATACTCATAACTATTGCTAATCCAACTGTAGATGTAGGCAACGGCATTCACGGGATCATACCATATAAATTAACCCATTTTTAATTCATTTAGTTTAAATCTCAGCTCTCGTCCAATTTAGCACTTTCAAAGGGATCACGGTCTTAAAAAAAATAAAGTTAGACGAAGCAGTACTTGAGCATGGGAGAAAAATTTTGACAGTTATTGACAGTTACATATAACTTCTATAATTGAAAATGCATCTTATTTGATTATACGGACATGTTAATTACATTAAAAAACTATAAAGTCGATTGGGCAATTCGGAGAATGGTATAATAAGATTGATACAGTTTGAAAAAGTCAATGAAAAATCAGTAAACTCAATAAAGATTAAATAGCCAATTGCGATACGAAGGATTACTGAGTGGTTTTGTTTTCGATGGACGCTGGTATTGGGAAATTGCCATTAAAATCATTCCAATGCTACTGCACGTAACACGAGGAAGGTAAGAAGTTCGCCTTTTGTATGCCATCGTGTTGACTCTCATAAGTTTGTGGTGCTCTGATTGTGTTTTCGTTGAGGATTCCACCGGGTTACTCATCGACGAGGAGAGAAGGCGAAGTAAGTCAACTGCCTCATTGTGCCTTATTTCGTCCTGATTATCACTTGCTCACCTCTAACGCCTACTTCTTTATCTATCCAGTTCCCGAATTCACTTCGTTCTGCTTCCTCCTACTGGGTAAATGCAACCGTGGCCCAAACAAGCACTTAGTTTTCTGGTTTGGAAGGCAGTTTCATGATAGGATGACACTTCTAAGGCTGCAATAGTCAGGCTTTGAAAATCCGAAGTCGTGTTTTCTCAGCGCCCCAAAAAAAATTACATTTGAAAAATGAATACAAAAATATATTTTTGGTCTTCTTATTTAGTCAATCTAATTATCCTTCATTTAATATGTTAAATTGGCTACAATGAGCATGTTTTTCTAATCCAATGAAAAATTCAAAGGAAAAGTCATTAACCAGGTAGTTAAAGAGCTAATATGGTACTATTACCTCTTTAATAAGCCAATCTGATGGGATTCTAGAGAGTACTGAGGTCATCAAAATGGAGTTGGAAGATATTCTTTCTTAGACCACCACTTGGGTAGTAAGCAAACAAAAGCAGCAGGAATTACCAATGTGCGTGCATTGGTTGGTATGAATATTTGGTCAGATGTATATACACAGAGGCCGACCGAACCGAAGGAATACCACTACCTGGCCGCCTTTTGGTGCATTTTCCCGACTCTTTCAAGTTTTGCGCCCAGCGCTTCAGGATGAGTGCAGTACACCAAGATTCTGGGGGCAGGTACAAGTAAACGTGCTGGCATTTTAGCTATAACAGTCGTGTCTTCCCCCCCCCCCCCCTCCGCCCAGCTGCGCCTTTCATCCAGCGCAGAAAAAATCATCCCCCCCCCTCCACTCCCATTTTACCTGCCTCCCCTTAGATTGCCGATGACCCTACAGGGGTGCCCACAAACACACCATTTGGGGGGTTTGTGACCTTTAAAGTAGGGTCTATCCTCACTCCGTCTCCCTCCCCCCCCCCCCCCCCCACCCACCAACTTTCCTCCTATTTGCTGCCATGTGTAAGGCAGCAGGTCTTTTGAAGTTGCCTTTTTCAACCACCATCATTGCACTGAAGAGCCGAAAGATAGGTGGTGGTGGAAGAGAGAAGAGGCCTTCATCCTTAATCGGAGGAACAAATATGCCAGATAGGATTGGTAAGTTGCAAGAAGGAGGAGGCTGCATAAAAGGAGCGTCGACCTAAACATTTAAGATCAATGAAGCGGAGCCTTGAAAATGTCATTTTGGTAAAAACCAGGGGGATTTATTAGCACTGATAGCGCTGATATGCTGGCCAAGTGACATCTTCATTCATATACTTAGAATTCATGCATTTGTTCCTGTGATGTCGTGTTCTCTTGAAAGGCAGCTGTATAAGGACAACTATATAGATATGAAAATTTCGAGTAATTTAAAATTTCTAACAGTTAAGGACAGTGGACTAATTTTTTCCTTACATCAGCCATAATAAATGCTAAATTTTTTGTATATAGCGTGATCAAACTTCGCGCAGATAAAGAAAGCATAGAAGACTCTTCAAAAGTACTCTTTCAACTGACATGTACAGCATGTTTTACCAATAAATCAATTAATTACATATCCATAATATAATTTCTCCAATTTACGCTTAATCTGAAAGTTCAAGTCTTTGTTCTCTCTTAAAATTAGTATTGCACTTAAACTTAAATTTGAAAATTGCTTGATTTGGTCACTTATCAGAAAGGGACAAATTATTAAAAATTAAAAATTTATAAATCAGAACTATCCAGCACAGTTCTAGAAGTGGGTGTAAAGTTGTGCGTGTGTGTGTGTGTGTATGTTAGTTTTTTTCGGAAAGTAGCAAGCTGAACAAGGAGAAAGGCCTAATTGCCTTCGCCCCTAACTTCAGCCTTCTATAACTCCCATTTTTTCCTCTCCCTCTCTCTCTCTCTCTCCAAGTTTAAAGAACTTTAACACCAGTAAGTGTCACTTCCATGCAGCGCCTTTTTTCTCTTAAGGAAAAAAAAACTGGTGCACCAGGCCGTCGCATAATTTAGAGATGCGTTCCGTTGAAGTATTTCTCAAAATTTATTCTTTTAAAGCTGATATGTTAAGTCCGAACCGAAAGTGTTCAATTTGACATGGTAGGAAATATCTTTCAATGTCAAAATTTTATATAGTTAATCATAATTTAAGCAGCCCTAGTTGCTTGTGTAATTCCCTATCAATGACAAAATCAGAGGATTCTTTTCGGTTAAAACGGAGTTGTACGGTACTGGTAATGGAATGATCTGAATGCATTATTTATCCTCTTATTGGTCGGTTCAAAGTAAACAAATCTTGTTCAGCTTCCACTTAGCATCACAGAGATAGGCATAAAAAGAAAGTATCACCAACTTCTCTATTCCATTAGCCTTGAATTCGGCATTATGGGATATCATTGAACACCTATCAATGGAAGTTTTGAACGATGTACCCTTAGACATCGAACTTAGCCTAAAATGGATCAGACGACCACTCTGAAAATTCATATGAGCATTACGTAGTTTTCCTTAGGTGTTCCGACCGTTGCTTTCTGTTTTCCATGCATACTTTACTATTTATAGATCTAATATGGCTTTAATATTCTTTATAAATGATTGGAAAATAGACAAAAAGACCAGTCCTTACCGTATCCTTTCGCATGGATTTAACACCGCCCTTCATCCTTCTACCTCCTTCCACCTAGAAAGAGACGCAAAAACAGCCCACTATAAGCTACGAAATAAATACGGGGTGGAGGATGAATAGAGAGGGCGAATAAGTACATAAACTGCCCTCTGCCTTGTTCTCTGCCTCATCCCCATCCCAACATTCGGTTCGTCTTTTTTTCTTCTACCTTCATATCTTGCTTTCAGTCATGTTACTAATACTGCTACCTCTGTTGCTCGATTTTGGGGCTAGTGCAGAGGCGCATTCCAGCCCCAAAAATGCTTGAAAGCGGCTGTCCTCTTTGATGTTTCCAACAGTTGCAAACACACACTTCCTTTCCCAAGAAATGTTTCTAATCTGGCCATGGAGGGAGAGGAAAAGAATTGAACTTTATTGCGTTCGCTTTCTTTCTGGTATCTCATTCCTATCCCTCCACATCACCATTTAAGCACATAATCCTAAGTTAGATGCGTGCTCGAACTATTACTAAAATAACTAACGCTGATATCTCTACCATTTCTGTGACCTGATGCTTCAAGGTTGGCTGACCTTTAGCAAATTGTTTAATACCTTTGAAACGCACGTCTGACCCTCACTCATGGCCGTGACCGCATGTGGGGAAGTTTGCATTTTATTTTGGGAAAATCACGATTTCAGCTTTGATTTGGTAAGTGTAAAAAAAATTGAGCATGGATGATGCATTGTAAAGGAGAGGGCGAAAATGACTTCTAGAGAATTTAAATGCTGATAAATAGATCCATATTTCGCAAATTAGGGAATAATTCCGCTTCTACTCTTACAGGAGTTCCGAGCAATAGCTCACTGAAATCAAGTGATTGTTTTATCTTAAGGTCAAGCAAAGCGAATTAAAGGTGAAGCTAACACCAGAGGAGTATTTGGCCTGTACTAGCATTATTATGACTATAAATCAATATTCATTGCCGGAATACCTAGAGACATTCTATCACTTCTGAAAGCGGCCGCGTAAGAGCTCTCTTCTTAGTCTCTAGATAAAATGAAGTTATTGGCCATTATTTAAAGTACATATCATCTGCTTGATCAACGCAACTTTACATTCTGTCGCAATCAGCTTCAATTTTAGGTCCTAAAGGTATAAGTTATTAAGTTAAGTAAAAAAATCAATGAAACTGATTTCTATTTTCTTCCTTCGAACGGCAAAATTGAACTCGATTTGTTGGTGCAATATAAGTAATCTCCATGGTATTTCGAGTTGGGCTTCGGACTGTCTGACAGGTCTAGTAATCAATGCTTTGTTAGGATTTTCTGCTCATTTTACTTTGAATTAAATATTCCACTTCCCCAAGTTTACCAATTACAGATGATTTCATTGATAAAAATCAATCTATATCAAGGTAGTAAAAGTTATCGGTAATCACTTGGTCAACTTCAAATATACAGGGTGTCCCACAAAATGTATACATAGTGTTTTTTACTATTTCATTATTTCAAATGTTTAAAAACATTTACAAGTGTCATTTTATTGTTCTATTTCAAGATTAGTCCATACACATAATGACGATGATCCAGACTGAAGATTATAATACTGAGGGTGGTATTTAGAACAATGTTTGAGAAAAGTTGATTTTTCAAGAAAGATTATGCGGAATGAAGAGGTCACATTTAAGTTAAATGGTTACATCTACAACCTGAGAATCCATACATTACTGTTGACCATCATGTCAATTAACCTAGAATTGCAGTGTGGTGCGGTTTGTCATCAAGAGGATGAATTGGGACGCACCTTTAGGCGCTAACGTAGCAGGTCCCATTTACTTGAACTTGCCGCAGCAATCTGTTCTGCCAAGCATTAGAGATGACTTTGGAAATGAAGAGTTTTATTTTCAGCAAAATGGGGCACCCCTCCTCCCATTACCATCACAATGATGAGGTCTTGCCAAACAGGTAGATTGGAAGGAGAGGTTTTGTTGAATGTTCTCCCGTTCACTAGAAATCACACCACTAGATTCTTTCTTGTAGTTATACTTAAAAGACAAACCTGCAACATGCACTGAATTAAGAGAAGCCACTGAGTATGAATGCGTCCAAAACCCAAGGGAATTATTTCATGATGCGTGCGATTCCAGTGCTTGGATTAAAATGACCGTCAGTGCAGTGAAAAACAATAAAATTGTATATATATATATATATATATATATATATATAAAACCTTTATTACTATTTGCTTACTTATCCTTGTTGACATTATCATAATCGAATGCATATACATTAAATTAATTAGCTGCACCACCGGTTAAAAGTATGGAAGAGAAGAACGGTGGAAAGCAGGACTACCATGCTAGAACCTCCTCTACTAAATATGATTGCCTGAGAACTTTCCATTCAATAGGTATCGTATCTATCCTCACAAAATCAACATCTCATTCAAATTCGCATCGCGTATAACAAAATTTTTTCTTTTATAGCTCTCATTTGAATTCAAATGTATGTCCATGTTTCTGAACCTTTTTCGTCTAAAGAACTAGACGATGCGCACAATGTCTGCGCGCCAAAAGCATCCAGGCGCGGAGGGCCGACATATCATGGGCTTTACAACCCAGACATAACTACGTCAGACATCAGAAAGCCTGTCTAAGAACCACCCTTTTAGAAGTTTGTCTAGACCTGACAGCTACAGTACAGCCCTCGAATCCCCCAAAAAAGATTAATAACTTTCATTGCGGTACTTCACAAGCTGTTCATTTATCAAAAATCCCAGATGTTGACTCCAGCCCTCTCACCTATTCGCATTCCAACGTCGTCTCATCTCCGTCCTCTTTGTTTAAACCGGCTGTTGCACAGGCTGCTTTGCACATCATTCGGACCTCCTGAAAATAATGATCAGTACGCATTAATTGATCAATCTCCTTTTTGGTAATTTAAATGATAAAAGTGGAAATCAATCAACTAAATTCGCTGTCAAGGGTGTCGAAGAAATGGAGTAGTAGCCACTGATAGTTTAGATAAATGCCCTTATATCTCTGTTTGGGGAACACCTAATACAATCTAGAAAAGCATGTTTAATAGATTGACAAATGAAAAATGCCTATTTTGGCCATGTTCTATTGAATATAAAAATAAACTAAGTTTTTCTCTTTGAAATAGGCTTAAGTAGGGTTACTGGCGAAGAAAATGAACGAAGCACTTATAGCATATTGAGGAATGGTGTGAATACGCATTTAAGCAAGTCCACTTGATACCATTAACTGAGAATCTAATAATTGACAAATGAGCACACACGCATATCGATGAAAATGGTGGGGGGGGGGGGCGATATGGGAATGAAGCCTTGGCGTTTGACAAATCAGAATCTCAATTACGTATGCATTACTGCTGGGCCTAAAATAACTTCCGTCGAGAATCTTGTACTAGTAGTTCGTGGGCTTATCAAGGAGTTCAAACAATTTGGTAAAATATGGGCAAGTCATTATGATGACAAATAATTAGACTAAAAGTAAAAGATAAATTTTTTTCAAAATAAATCTCCCTCAGATATTTATTTATTTCAAATGGCAGGCTTTAAGATATTTATCATTAGCCCTTAATCAAATGCCGAGTGATAGACATTTTTGCCGCATGAAGATAAGTTGTCCAGGGTGCACCACGTGGAGGTTAGTCTATCGCGCACCCCATCAGATATGGAAATTGAATGTGAATCGTCAGGCTAGATAACATTCCTTTGATTTGTTCACAGGGCCTTCAAATTAGTTGTGAATTTCATTTTCTTTGTAAACGTTAACATTGTTGACCTATACCAGTTCGAAGCCAT